TGTGTTCCCGCGTGGTGAATGCTGGTTGCTGAAGAGCTCTGTAATCTTCTTCTAAATTAAAGCGAAATGAGAGTCACTGGCTAGAAGCCACAGTCAAATTCTTTTTATTTCAAATTTAAATGTGTTTCTAACAATGGAATGATTAACTATGAAAATAGACCGTCAGTGGAAGCATGTTTTCTGATGGGTATCAGCTCTGATCTCAAAACGTCAGCACGTACAGCTCGGAACTGTTACGGGCTAGTTACAGATGGAACAGGGTGACACATAAAGGCCTGTTTCAGGAGAGCCAGAGGAGATGATCTGACGGTTCCCTCTGGCCTCGAACGGGTGAACAAATCATTTAAATGCAGTTGATTTTGCCGGCTGGAAATGGTCCCTCGAAACTTTGAGCAACCAGAAAGAAGATTCTGATGAGTAGATCCCAGGTTTTTTGGAGGCAGCATGTGTGTGTTTGGATGGTTTTTGCGTTTTCAGGTGTTGCACGTTAGGGCTGCTGTGGTTTGACTGGGTCTGAAATGCCCAGTTTATGTGGCAAACACAGAAATATCCAAGAGATGCTTTCCAAGAGTCACCAGAAGTAAGTGCTTGGGCAGAAGGGGAGGCAGAGCAATTGTTAGTCACCTTTTAACTCTGCTCATCTGCTCTGAGGAAGTGATGCTGTTCCACTAACAAAGTTTCGGACAGTGGCTATCCTCTCTTCACAGAGATCTGTCTTTTCAGTGAATACTGTTTAAATAGCAGTGTCACTTTTTTACATCACCTCTTTTTTTTTTTCCCCCGAATTACACTGATTTGTTTCCGCCTTCTACCGATCTTTGGAAATGCAGCTCTAGAGACTTTCTCACAAAGTTTGACGTGCTCATCCTGATGCTCTTTCATTAGGAAGCTTTTACTGCTTCAGGTTTGCAAACCCGTTCTGGTATTTCACTTTCCGTTGCAGCAAATTAAGGTAAGCTTACGTATAATTTGATAAATGAAATTTAACAACTTCTTCCATGTTTTTGCCTTAACACTAGTGAATTCCGAGCAAATTTCCTCATGCCACAGTGTCCTGTAGCCTAACCTAGATTCTCTGACATACTACTGCTTTACATTTTACAGCTTGACTATATTGAGTCTGATAATAAAAAAAAGATCTGGCGGTTCTTTTCTCTGCTCCTTTTATTTAGTGACTTGCCTTAGCATGAATGAAGGTCATTGAAAACTGTCTGCATGATAGTGATGCCCTCATTTCCCATAGAACTTTTAGAAACTTTTTTATTAAACTTTTTTCCTGTTTCTTTTAGGAGCTCAGCTTTTTATTTTTTTAGATCTGCAAATGAAGCTTTTTTTTTTTGCATTTGGATTGAGGGGATTTTTTTACATTTGTTCGCTATAATTCTTACAATTAAAATTTCATAATGCTGTCATTCTGTAAGCACAATTCTTTTTTCGTAGTGGTATATACAGTTTAGTCAAGTCTCAGTCTTTTTCCCCCTTTAGAGCACTAAGTTTAACTTTGTATACACACAGCAACTTTTATCCCTGGAAAAGTCTTTACTATGCTGTGTTGTACAGTAGCTCCTCACATTGCACGACCAACCAAGCAAGTGATTATTTTCTTAAATCCTTTTAAGGTAGGCGTGTTGTCACGCGCAGAGTACTTCATTACAGCTGAAGACAAATATATTGTCTGGGAATGATTGCAAAGTCTTCAGTAGATTCAGGCTTCAGAGGACAACACCAACCCCGTGTTCAAAACTGAAGACTCTTACTTAAAACTGAGCAAAACTGCATATCTAGACTTTTGTCAGTGCTCTGAACACTTTGCAGCTACAGTGTACCCTCATTAGAGGACACACATTTCAGTATTTGCAGAAAGCAGAAATGTAGTAGCTGGTTATTCAGAGAAGCTTGATTAGGTTTGGAAAAAAAACAAAGACTTTGGCGTTCTTCCTTGCGTCTTGTTTTAAAATAACCCTGGTGCCATGGTTACAAGACTAGTCTCATCGCTGTTTCTCCTGGGGATCTCGTGTTGTGCATCCCCATATGTTCTCGGGATATGAATTCCTCCGTTTGCTCGCTCCTGCCGGGCCTTGGGTCACAGAACCCGTGCATGGTGCCGGCGATTGCTGTCGCAGCTGCGGTGGGCACTGGGCACTGCCAAAGGTTTTTGACTCGATCCTGTCCCCCGGTGTGTGATTCGGATGCAGTGTCTTCAAAATAAATGCTTCAAATACTTTAAATGCTTCAAAATAAATACATCTTGGGTTTGGGTTGTTTTGTTTTTTAACTAAATGTGGAAGATGAGCAGGGCCAAGGTATGAAACAAAAAGGACTATTCTGCACCCAAGTTTAATCTGTATTATCCGTGAGCTGGCATTACTTATCTAGAGATTTATTTAGTTTGAGTTGGAGGGAACAGATTGCAACAGTTTTTCCTGTCTCTGGGAGTCTTTGCATGTAGTTATCCTCTTCCACTCCAGTGCCTCAGCTTATGCCTCTTAGGTTCCTATGGGAAGGGTTTGTGTGTGTTTTAGTAATCAACTTGTTTATTGAGGAAAAACCAGACAAACAGCTACAGAACAACCCACCACCACCACTGCTACACAAAGCTGCAGTGCAGTTCCTTGGCCTGGCCAGGCAGTTCTGGAAGAGAAGCTGAGGAATCCTCTGTGCAAACCTGACTGTTGTCTTTGAAGGGATGCTCCTTATCTAGGCTATTGTTCTGCCTTTCCTGTCTGATTCCTTTAATGGCTTTTTTACAGCCTCTTTTGGTTTAACTCTGTTTGTTCAGGCAGCCAACAGTACAAAATTGAGTAAAGGAAGCAGTATGCACCGAACCAACCAGTCTTTTCACTTAAAGACGTCTTCCAAATTTCTCTTTAAATTAAAAAATAACAAAAAAAAGCCCAAAGTTGCTAGAGAAGGGCTAAGGAGGAGGAGAACTTGGAAAACCTAGTGTGAAGTTAATAGCACAGACACTTTCAGAGTGCTTAGTTAATTTTATGTTTGTCCTGAGGATAACAATATTTATCCTCTAGAAAAAGCAGGTTGTATCTGAGGATAATGTGTGTCAACTTAAGGGATAGTTCTTCCAGGAAATACTTTTAAAGAAATGTTATATATTCCTCTTTCACCACTGTGCCACTGAGATCTGAATTCCACGTGACTGTTCTGGCCAGTTATGATTCTTTTTCTCAAAGCCAGTACTCATGCTTGTTTTTTGAGAGGGTGAAGTTTGTCTGTTCTCTGCCAAGAACACCAAATACCAGATGTTCTACTAGTTACTATATTAGGCCAAGTCCTGATAACTGTAAACTTACTCCATGAAGAGTAATAATTTGCTACAGTGCCCCTGAAAGCAAGATAGAAAAGTTACCTGCAGATTAAATGTTGTTCAAGGCTGCCTCTGATGAGAGAGGAGAAGGGCACTGCTGCTTTAAAGGCGGACAAAAGGTGTCTCTCGGCTTTCTCATTTTAGTAGTATCAAAAAGGGTTCATTATTCTTCCCTGGTTTTCTGAGGCTTGTGTAGATTAGGAGTTATTCTTTTTTTCCAGTCAGCTGAAGCCTTGCGTTGCTGACGGAGCTGTCGGCTCTGGGAAGTTGATGAGCCAGAAGCTGGAGCACCAACGTGTGTGGCAGCTCCTGTGCACTAATGTAGTACTTTGAGGACACTGGGTGCTTTCAGGCAAGATAACATCCTCCGCTCCTGGATTCCTCACAATTAACCTCTGGTGTGAGCACTTCCCGAATGTGTTCATGTGAATTATCTAGTGTACTGTGGTCACGCACCTTAATTTATGGAGTGAGAAGGTGGGTTGTTCTCTACCCTGGGAAGTTCAAAGTAGTGTACAAAGAAATACACAAAAAGGAAAATCGCAGTTTTTGTATTAGCAGGTTACATCCAAGCTAGCCACTAAGGCTGCAAAAATATTTCCTTGTATAATGTGTGCTGGAAAATACAAGTGGAAAAAAAAAGCAGCCCTGAAGATGTCTGTGTTGAATTCAGTGTATCTTTTGAAGAGGTTTTCATTAATATTTGCTTATTTTCATAACGCTAGATGCAGGCTGGACAGTTTTTCATACAAATAGGGCACAACATGTTGTCATTCTGACCTGCAGGAATCCTGCAGTTCTGGCTCGTGGCCCTTCTTGGCAAGTGTCAGCAACACTGAACACCTTTTGCTTCTGCACTTAATTTAATTCTTCCTTCCTCTGGGCATTATGAAAAGCTGTATCTTGCAGACATTGCAAGTGATTGGGATGGCTGTAAACATTTAATATAACTTTGAAAACAGATGATTCCTAGTCTTCCATTTAGGAGTGTGTGGATTTTCTGGTTTGGTTGTGGTTTATTTTTTAGATTAAAGATAGTTATTCTCCCCTCTCCAAGAAAAAAATAGCTGTTCGCATGTGCAGTTTTACAAAGCGATGTGCGTTGTGCTTTATGTCGATTCTTTTAAATGCAAGAGGGTTATACTATGCAGTTCATCTGAAGTATTCCTTAGAGAAAATAATGATTATTTTTTTTAACATTTAATTTCTTGTAGTTTTCCTCACAGAATTAGGATAAGTTACAAGCAGTTCTTAGATACCCTTATTTGCTGATAGAAATTTGTGTGTGACTATAGTGCAAATCTATTGCATTCAGTGCATTGGTTTTACTGAGTCTTGTTAAATGTATTTTTAATCTTGTAGCTAATAGACTTGTGGCCTTCCATCATGGCAAATTTCCTGGATATCCAAGTGGAAAGCACTAAATTCTAGGGAAGTGATTTTGATTTGGGTCTGTTGGTTTGTTTTGGTTTTTTCTTCTGTGAACAGTTTGGTCGTGAAGATCTGTTTAAACCAAAACTGTTGGGGAAAGGAATATAAAAGAATATGCAGCTTGAAATAAGAACTGGTGGTATCATTAACACGTCTCGTGAACATGATTCTACTGGCAGCATTTTACATTGCTTGGTGTTTCAAGTGGGAGCTGTATTAAATGCAGTCGTGTCTCTTATTGCTTCAGGTTGGCGGAACAAAAGCCGGAGTCGTGCGTTTCTTGGGAGAAACTGATTTTGCGAAAGGAGAATGGTGTGGAGTAGAACTGGATGAACCTCTGGGAAAGAACGATGGAGCCGTTGCTGGAACGAGGTTAGTCTAGCATCAGATAGCAGATGCCTTAAAGATTTTTGCGTCTCTGTATTCTGCTTTGGTTTAATATCTTACGTGAAACTTTCTATCAAGGGAAGTAGTTAGGCTGTAAACCTCACTGTCTGCTGATGGTGATGGGAGATCGTTAGATGCTGATTTGAATTTTATGACGCCTACACATCTCTAAAAGTCTGCATCAACCCCACATTCGTGGGATTAGTTGATCTCTCCTACTCCCATGTGAGTTTTATTCATAGATTGGTAATGGAAAACACAATTTCCTGCTTTTTGAATGTATGCTTGGAATAAATGCTCGGTTAAGAAAATGTCTTTGAGTACCTCATATCCAAACTTAGGGGAAATCTTCCTGCGTCACAGGAGCAGAAAGCTCCTCGTTGTAAAGATCGGGAAGCGTATAGCTGCTTCTTCCAGTAAGTCACTCTTAGAAAGCATTGATTCACATCACGATGTAACTTTCTTTCTCCTGTAGTAAAAAGATCGGTCCTGGCACTCGTTACAAGAGGTTATCAAAGGCTTGCTCCACCTTAACATAGGCGGTCACAAGCTAAAATTTGAAGTGGCTTTTGTTTATATATTACCAAAGGTGTATGTTTTGTATAAAAAAGAAGCATACGTGCATAGGAATGTATGTAATAAAATATAAACCTACTTGATTTAAAAATAAAAATCAGATTTTAATTAACTCTCTGCTGTCATGTTTGCTGTTGGCAGCTCGGAGGAATGTATCGAAGAGGAAAGCGCTATGCGTGTTAAACTTGGAATCTGAATGGAATGTGTAGGAAACAGAGCTCTAGCTCATGAGTTTACTCTGAATTTCTGAAGTCTGATGTAATCGTGCTGTTTCATCCTCTCAGAGTCCCCTTTCCAAATCTAGTGATTAAAAAAGAAGCAATCTAATATAGAAGCAATCTAATATAGATTAGATTGTCACCAGTTGTTACCCTGTCCTTTAATACTTTTAAATTATTGATCTAGAATTTTTCGTGAAGCCAGATTGCGTGTCTGAAAAGGTAGAAGGTAATTTAATACTCTCATCTGTCTGCTTTGCTTTTTAAAGGTATTTTCAGTGTCAGCCAAAATACGGTTTGTTTGCTCCGGTCCACAAAGTGACAAAGATTGGATTCCCGTCAACCACACCAGCGAAAGCAAAGACGACCGTGCGAAAAGTACTCGCTACTCCCACGGCCCTGAAACGGAGCCCGAGCGCATCTTCCCTGAGCTCGCTGAGTTCTGTGGCATCTTCAGTAAGCAGCAAGCCGAGCCGTACAGGACTAGTAAGCTCCTTTTTCTGTTGCATGCTTTACTTTCCCAAGCAGGAATCCACGTGGCAGTTGCCTGTGGTACACTTGCATAAATTGCGACTAGAACAGATCTTGGGTGGAGCACAACATACATTTAATTGCGCTCTCCTTTTCATTCAAAGCATGCATGAAGGAAGGAAATCTTAGCTAGCCCTGAAGAGTAGCTGAATATGTGAATATTTAAGCTTCCACGGTTAATTCAGGCTAACTGTGTTGCTGCAGTAAGAAAGGGGCTTGTGATGCCAACAAACTGAAAAGGCATCGGTGATTTCTGACTGGAATCTTCATTTGGCTGTTCGTTTTCCTAGCGCTACCTCTGTCATGGGAGAGGGTTGTCTTGGAGGATCTGGTACCTACTAAAGCTTCTGTAGCTTAAGCTTGTTTCGTCAAGCTTGTTTCAAATTGTCAAAAAGGTAAAAAGTTGTCTTTTACCGTTAAAGCCACGAGTCAGCTGAGAAATACAGAAGTAGCAATTGTCAACCCTTTGCTGACAAGAAGCCTCTTTCTTTTCTTCTAGACTTGGTTTTAATCGTATGAATTCATAAAGGCTAAATGTTGCAAAGTACAGTGGCTCAGGTGAATTCTAACACGGTACTAATTCCACCTAATACACTTACTGTGGATACTTTTAAAGTTGCTCTGTTACATAAATGTCCTAATCTTGGGTTGCAGCAGTAAATGGCTATCTTCTGAGAAGGCTAATTTTAAAAAGTTCCCCTTTGAAGGCAATTAAAAGCATAGAGATAATTGTTTTTTTCCCGCAGTCACCCTAGATATTTTTCCTCTTTTAAAACTGAAGTGCGTCAGTACCGCTAATTGCAAAGAGATCACTCCCGCTGCCCTGGAACTGGTTAGCTGGCACACTGTCCCACTGACCAGCGGGCGCAGAACCGGAGAGGTGACTTCCCGTAGCCCTTCAGAACTGAAGCAGATTACAAGCGAGCAGAGGTCAACAGTTGGTCGGGGCAAGAGGGTTAATACCTTAGCACAAAAAGCGCAAGGGATTTCTATTTGGCACAAACAGTGGGACTTTGTTCGGTAATCCCTTCTGGAAGTTGCACTCCTAGCTCCAGAGAGCCCTCTAGTCTGAAATGGATGCAATAACGTACGGCGCTGCCTCGGGTTCCGCGCAGGCTGCGGGAGCTGATGGGGAAACGTTTGTACGGACCTGCACGTTCTATTTGGTCTGCTCTGGTACTCTAAGCAGCAAGAGAGCACAGTTACACCTTGTAAATGCCTTCAGTACATTTGCTTATTTTGCCTCTGCCTCTGCCCTGGGGCTTTTGCATGTTTTGAGGCCATAAAACGTAAAACTTCTGTAATTATTATTTCTGGAATTAAAATTGCAGCTTGCTTCCAACTCTTTTTCTCAGGCAACATGAGCATTTAGTTAGCATCCAAGTTCAAAGGCCTGTCAAAATTGTGACGCTTTTTCTTTAAAAGTTAAGCTACTGAAGAAACAGGATTTCCTGAAATCAGATTAGAAACAGCAGGCTTTTCTTACTCCAGTTTCTAGGAAAATGATAAGTTGTATGCAAATTGCTGGGCTCCTGCACAGCCCTCGGAGTCATTCAGGGCCATGGATGTTTTCTTCTTCTTGTGGAAGAAAAGCAACTGTCAAAGGAGGTGACCTAATGATTCAAGAGGGCTGTCTGGTGCAATTTGTGTTTATTGCCAAGTCTGAAGGAAGTTGATGTTTCTCCGAAATCTTTCGGATTTCTTCTGGCATCAAGATTCGAGGAGCACAAGTTGTTAAAAAGCAGTATGTTCTGGAATGAGATACCTTCTGAAAACTGAGAGGATCTGAAACAACGAACCTAAGCACCAAAATGAAAGGTGATTTGTTCTGCCTCAGACCTTTTAAGTCACTTGATCCAGCATTTGCGATGGTTTGTAGATGTATCGTTCAAGGCTGAGTTGTTATTCTCATGTAATACCTAAAATTTTGAGCTGTTAGGCTTAAAGTTAGTTTTTATAGGTTGGATATATTGGATTTTTTTTTAATTCAGTTTTTGCTGTTTTCACAACTCTTGCTCATTTTTACTACATCATTTCAGTTTATTTACTTTCACTTCTAGATCAAACGCTCTCAAGGAAGTAGAATTTTCCCTGACACTGGTTCCATTCAGTGGAGTAGAAATCAAGCAAGGTCAAGGAAAACCCTAAGGCTCATTTTAGCTATAATTCTCCGAATTGTTTCATTTTTATCTATTCTTTTAAAGTTTAATCTTTCAGATTAAACTTTTTTTTTTTTTCCCCCCCAGAAGTAATTTAATTCCGAGTGATTTAAACATGTTTTAATCAGATGCCAGTTGTTCTTCTGAAGAAGTTTGTAGCTCTGAGGCTGGCTTTTTAGGTCAAGGTAAATGCTTTGCACCCTGGATGCTTTATTACCATAGCAGAGGTAAAATGCTAGCTGGAATTCCAAAAGCTTTGACAGAGCATTTGGAAATGAGTTATACTATTGCTGGTGACCCAAGATGATGACTTGGTAACTAGAGGCACAATGGTTTTAACTTGCTAAAAGGCTGCCTTTCTGTTTTCTAGTGCAAAAAGATGCTTAAAACCATAATGAGCTAGCCTTTGTGTGAGCCTACTAAGCACACCTTCGATTGAGGCCAGCCTTCTGCTTTCATTTCAACCCTTCTGTCTCCTACACACTCCCTGCTGATTGCTGCAAAACAGTCTTTATGGCCATTGTTAAATTCTAGAAAAGAATTTAAAAGCAAAAAGAGAGGGTACAGTAGGTCACAGAAAGCATTTGCTTTACTAACCCAGTGTTTGTAAAGTCTGGAGATACCCCTTGCTTTCACTTGCTACGGAATGATGATTTTTTTTTTTTAACTAACTCGCTTTGTGAAGTTGACAGAAACATCCTCCCGGTATGCAAGAAAAATTTCGGGTACCACAGCCCTCCAGGAGGCACTGAAGGAGAAGCAGCAGCACATCGAACAGCTCCTGGCAGAACGCGACCTGGAGAGGGCAGAAGTTGCAAAAGCAACCAGTCACGTAGGGGAAATAGAGCAGGAATTAGCTCTTGTTCGCGATGGACATGACCGGGTAAGAGTGGTGTTGCTGTTCTTAAAGCGGAGGCTTTAAGATAATAGACTTGATTCCCGAATTTGTGTTTTCTCATTGAAAAAGTCTGGGGGTAAGAGGTGGTGGTGTTCTAAAGCTGCAGAAGTCAGTACCTCTGAGATCTTCCTTGGGGGAGCTTTGGCTCGATGAGTTAGCACGCCAGTTCTGTTTAACAGATTTGGGTTGAACTTTCGACACAGCTCAAAAAGCAATGACTTTCTTTTTTGTGCATGTTGGATTTTGATAACATTTCCTATGCCTTGGCCCATCACTTTTCCAAACTGTGATTACAGAGGTATAGGTACATAACTTGGAGAAAATTTCGAAGATTTTTTTTTCTCATTCTTCCTGCCAATTAGCATGTACTGGAGATGGAGGCAAAAATGGACCAGCTACGAGCTATGGTGGAGGCTGCTGACAGGGAGAAAGTGGAGCTTCTCAATCAGCTTGAGGAAGAGAAAAGGTAACCAAAAACTTAACTACTTATTACTATATGTTAAAAATAAACTTTGTATTAAAAGCAAGTGCTGCGGTAACTTTGAAATATGAAGCAAGCTTTGAATAATGCAGATGTGAATAATGATTGGATAAAATCATACTGCAGTTTTTTAAAATTAATACTGAAAATTAAACTCTCTTGAATTTGACAAGGGAAAGCCAAAGATAGTGGCCTTTTTTTAGAAGCTGTAACTGTTGTTTATAGCTGAATTTCATGCAACTCATTCCTTTTATTATTGTTTTCTGTTATAAAGGATTTTATTCCTACTCATAAGAAATTAATGGATCATGCCTGATCTTCTTAAAATGCTCTTCTTCCACTTCATAATGAAAATGTTGATAATCTCATTTTCTGACAGTGTTAGATTAAGAATTTACAGTTCTCGGGTGAATAATGTATTACTACAAGCCATGTGCTTCTAGGTAGGATCTGCCATTTACAGGGAAATTATCAAAGCCATTAATTTTAATGCCTTTTCTAATAGCCTCCTGTAAACACTTGAAGAAAGGAACTGAGATTACCAGATGGGTAAAATGAGGTTAGGAAAGGAAATAATCTGACAAATTGTTGGGACAAGGTTAGGTGAGGAAATAATCTGAGAGATTGTTTTGGTGGATTTGGAATGCTTTTGAAAAGTGAGAATCTGTTTAGAAACCCATCGTGAGTTTGCCCTGTAGGGCTCGTGTGCACCCCTACGATCAGTCAGACGTGAACCTCTCCGAAAGGCCACCCTAAAACTAGAAATCGGAGTTAAGAGAATGCAACGGGTGATCCCTTTACAATTTTCATGCTGCCTTTTTAATGGGGCCCACTCTGCGTTTTCAAAATAAGTGGTGGAGTTAGATGTGGAGTTATTTGTATATTTTCTATGACGTAATGCAGTAGGGTTTTAAATAAAATATAAAAACAACAAAAAACCCCACCAGCTTTGCAGCACCTCGGGCAGCCTGGCCGCAGACCTACTTTCGCCGGATGCCAGGTCGGTGGGGTCTGTTTTACCGCAATCCTCCATGGCCTTGAGCTCACCTTCAGCGTGTTGCTAGGCAGCCCGGCAGTGCTGCTCCGCGCCTGCTGCCCGCTCACCCGAGTGACGTCCGACAGCCGGGAAAACATTTCACCGCTTCGGCGGTGTAATATTTCTCCTTCCTCCTCGCTGCTCTCAGCTTATTTACTTTGCAAGCTCTCTGCAATATGTATTCAAGTCAGCTGTGGCAGTGACACAAAGTCAAATAATCTCTAATACTCCGTTTTCCCAAAGCGCATCGCTGAGACCCACTTCGAGTTTTAAGTTCTTACTGTCCTTTTATTTTAGACATCCATGACTTGTAACCTCCTTTGACGCGCTGATTTCTACATCTGTCAGCCCGGCTGCGGGCGCCAGCAGCGTGTGTAATACAAAGGAATGAAGCCACGCTTGTCTCTTTCTTTTGCGGCATCTTCTGGTGTTGAAAGGATCAAGTGGGAAAAGGAGATCTGCCTCCTTGTTCACTGAGGTGTACCAGAGTCAGGAGAGGAAAGAAATAACTTGTAGCAAATTTTAAGTCAGATATTTGCTCCTCACTCCTCGCTTCTTTCCTTTTCTCCAGTGCTTCCTGTGAGGGAGTTCTTAATGTTTCCTGCAGTTTGCTGGTACAATCACAGTGATCACAGAATGGCAGGAGTTAGAAGGGACTTCTGGTCATCTGGTCCGACCCCCCTGCCAGAGCAGGGTCACACAGGACCACATCCAGGCAGGTTTTGAAAGTCTCCGGAGAAGGAGACTCCACACCCTCTCTGGGCAGCCTGTTCTGCCGCTCCGTTACCCTCACAGTAAAGAAGTATTTCTCTACGTTTAGCCTGAACCTCCTGTTTTCCAGGTTGTGACTGTCCTGATGTCGCTGTAGTTCTGATTTCTGCTGAAAAGTGAGCTTGAAAGCGTTTTCTTTCCACGTTATCTGAATTTTAATCAATTGTCCCCACAGGAAAGTTGAAGACCTTCAGTTCCGTGTGGAGGAAGAATCCATTACCAAAGGAGACCTAGAGGTAAAATATCTCCAGCTTTGTAAACAGGCTGTGTAGTAGGACACAGAAACACGGTCAGTTCAGATTAAGTGTACTGTTCTCTGGAAGAGAAAGGTGGGAACGATTAAAAATGCAATGCTGGGCCAAGTGAAAGCAAAGCGCGTGAAAGCGATTCCCAGTTCTGCAGCCCTTGAGTAAGCCAACCATCCTGAAACAACAGGATTGACCCTTAATTCAGTTACGTGCTTCAGCAAGGGCTCTGCTGTGACATGGGTGTAGGTTAGAGAAATCAAATTAATTCATAAAGGAATCTACTTTTTGATACTTTATATCTTACTGATGTTTCTGAAATTGCCTTAAAGTAACCACCAACAAAAAAAAAAATCATTCTGAAGTTATGAAATTGCAATTAGTTAGAAATTGATTTTGAAGACTAGTCCTGTTTGTCTTCAGTCAGCTTTTTGAATAATCCCCAAGACTTCCTGAGGAAAGATCGATTAGCAAAAAATGTTTTGTCTTGAGAGTTATTGTACACAAAATTTAAACAGCAGTTAATGTGTGCAATTTTTATCTTTCTACTGTATTTGCATAACAATAACGTTGGGCTAAAACACAGTATGCTGTTACACAATCAGAATAGGAAACATTTAATGAAGGTTTGCTCTCCAGTATTTGAACTCTGCCAACTTTTATCCCAAATTTCAAATGAAAAAGCGAGATATGTTTTAGTAGCTCTACTCTACTGTTGTCTAAACAGAAAAGTACCAGAACTTCTTGCACAGCATTAAGTACAAAGTTAAGTAACTCGTGCTTCTGTGAACATCTTGTGATCTAAGTGCTAGCCTTATGGAAATTACCCATTTCATATAACATTTCTTTTATTTTAGTCTTCCATTCATTTTAAGATACCTACCTAGGCTCTTCATAGAATGCTCCTTTTGTTCTTTAGTCCATGGAAAATTTAATTTTTTTGTTTTTTGTAAAAGTAGTTGATGGTCATGGCAAACCATCTTAAACACTCTGGTTTGTCAAGGTGCGTAAGTTCAAGAGTTTAAACTGAATTCACAGTGATGAAATTTGTCCTGTTGTTTGTGTTGCAATGATAGTGCTAAGTCTGCAGGTGAAATATTTTGTTTGTTGTTTTTTTTTTTTTAATTTTACTGATAGCGAAAGAGGCAGATTTCGGAAGACCCAGAAAATGTAAGAGGGCACTTAAATGTGCAGAGACATCCCATGTTAACAGATTGTGTGCAGAAAATGCTTATACTTATTCACTAACTGCATAATCTGTTATTGAAACATTGACTCTAGTATTTGTGTGCATGTTGCTTTCAGAGCAATTACAACATTTACCGAAAAGAATGTGTGTAATGACTAAACGTTATAATCCCCATTAACTGAAGAGAGGGCAAACGTGTTGTTAGAATTGTTTAGGGTCAAAAACTTTGCAACTGATTGAAGAGTATAGGAGCTTGTAGAAGATGACTGGCCAGCGTCTGGAAACATGGGATTTTAGTTGCTTTCGTCACAAAATTCTGCATGCTTTCCTCTGAGCTCCTACTACTTTCAATAGATGCAATACACAATTGGCCGATTGGTTCATGGAAGGAAAGAATCAGGATGTTCCCCACCTCCCCTTAGTTGTTTTGGTTTTTTGGCATAAAAGGCTAAGGGAAGGGATAACTAAAAATACCTGCAGAATTAGCGTGCAGAGCCTGTCTGGTTTTACTGTATCTTCATGTAGCTTCTCTCTAAATTAGGTAGGGAAAAATCCCTGCTGCTGGAAAACAGAAGTCACTTTACAAGACGTTTAATCTTGCCACAGCTCAGAATAGTGGGATTTAAATCCCTCTCTTTGATTGGACTCAGAAAAATTGATCCCAAGGTTGCCTCCTCTGCTGCATCCCCAGCCGAGATAGGAAGTTCTCGAGACTAAAACTGATTTCCTGCTGTGCGTTCTTAGGTGTTCCTTTTGCGAAGCTACTTCAGCGATCTGGGTCTCCTCTATTCTTCCAATCAGGCTCACGGTGTGTTAGAAGTAAATCTGCATGTGCCCTTCCTTTCTCTCGTTTTGTGCACTCCTTGTTTAATCCTATCTTTACCCTTGATTTCCCTATGCTGATTTTTCCATTAAAAATTTTGACATCTTCACTCTTTTAAGGAGAGAAGTGGGTGGTCACTTAGTTTCTAGGCTGCTGCTTCATAATCTCAGTCGTGTTCTGTGATTGTTTTCGCAGCACGAAGAGACTGGAGGTCGTCTTGCCCTTGCCTGAGAGCTGATTATCAGCATTTATGGCTTCAGCACAATTTCGCAGTTGGACTTAGAGATGGAGTATTTAACAGTGAGGTTTGTTTTGACGGGGAAGAGTAGCTGGAATACATAAGGGCTGAAAATAGCTGATGTCGGTCTCCAAAGTTTATTCGAGTGGAATTCTTTAAGGTTCAAGGCAGAGTAAGGCTCGTCCCGTTTCCCCATCACTCTTAATGTAATTGCAAAGCTTTGGAGAAGGTGAAGATGCTGCCTTTCTTGTTTGGTTTGTTTTGTGGTTTGGTGGTTTGTTTTTTTCTTTTCCATACAAGTTAGTGTTTAAAATCAAATTCTTTTCTTCTTTTTGTAGTACTCTGCTCTTCTCAGTTTACTGTGCTCAAAGAGAAACACGATCACTTAGAAGTTTCTCTCTGGATGATCAGGAGAGAAAATTGCGCGATTCAAAATTTTGCGCTGATTTTTATGTTGGGGCAACTGGAGCCTGTCCCTTGGAAATCAGATTTGTTTAAAGGATAATCCTTCATGCTCTAAATGGGAAACAATGTGTCCAGCAAAGATCTCTGGAGTAGTTTTTTTAACCTTTTATTTCCATTTTGGTAGGATTTTAACTTAGTGTGTAGTTTACTATGTAAGAGATGGGATTAAAAAAAACCACCCAAATCAGTGATGGTATGTCTGGTCCTTGCAGTAGTAAAGCGATGTCTATAAAATTAATGATCAAAGCGGTTTATGTAGCATAGAAAAACTTAAGTTAGCGTATTTTGCAAAGTCATGAGGGGAGAATTCTACAAGTGTCACGTTTGGGGTTTCTTTTTTTTTTTTCTTTGGTGAATTAGAGCAAGAAAGGTGTGAATATTCAGTATAGATTATTGATTACTCTTCGGTTTTATAATTTTGTTGTGGATCAGAACTAATACTAATCTGTCTCAGAGAGAGAGGGGACTGAGTTATAGCCGTTTATAAAATGGTGTTATTTCCCTTAGAATACTTAGTTCCATTTTCAAAGGCAGTGGGAGGCAAACCCGGGAATCGTGTTCTTGTAGTTTTTGTTTTCCCCGTATATGCTGAAGGTCATCTGCTGACAGAAACAAATCTGCTCTGGAATTTCAAAAGATGGACAAATCTAAGGAGCAACTTTTAGCATTTGTGGATTTTCATATTTTGAACCTAGCAACTACACAGTAAAGCAGCCAACTGTGTTCAGCTGGAAAAATGCTGCAAAAATTAAGCTGCCAGATGTCTGCACGCTTTCGGGAAAGAAGATAACTTGATGGTGTCGGGAGGAATGCTGTGTGTGGAGGAGAACAGGCCTGAAGCAAAACGAGAGGCTCATCCCCATCCCATTTGCTCTGCAGAGCCTGCCTAAGATCTTTAACTGCTGCGGCTGGTTTGGAGGCAGTGCTAATCAGCTTGTCAGTCTATAAATAACACAGTTCTGCGGGGATTTTGAAATATCATATTGCAAAGATCAGAGAAGCAGCAGCACCCCGCCAGCTGTGCACATGCTGCTGCGCTGTGGCTTTGGAATTTCTTGCGCGTCTTACTGCCTTTTTGGATTCTTTCAGTCCTGTTGGGGTCACAGAATCACAGAATCACAAAATTGTTGAGGCTGGAAAAGACCTCTGAGATCATCAAGTCCAGCCTATGACTCGCAGGACTCTCACCTGGTATGGTAGTTGGCAGGGTCTGGGGGTTACTTTCTTCTGGGGCACTTAAGCTCCACAAAGGACTTTCATCAAGACTGATGATGCAAGTTCTTTGGTTAATAAACACATCTTCGCTTCATTCAGTCTTCTTCTGGGCATCCATCATCCCCTCAGTGCACACACGCCCTGAAAAGCTGCTCTTTTTGGAAAAGACACTGTGAAGCAGCAATAGACTCCTTAATCCTTGTAATAATTTGGATTGTTTAGTAGATTTAAACTAACAGCACTTCAGAAATAAGCGTGGCACCTGGCTCTTACCTCTGGATATTTCTTTTTTCTTACTCATAAAGTTGGAAAAGACCTGTAAGATCACCCAAGTCCAACTGTCAACCCAGCTTTGTTCCTCCTCACTTTGTTCTCTGCTTCAGAGGTGCAGGTCACCTTTGAACTAGCTGCTGGACTTGACCTGCATCTCTCAGACTTCAAGCTCTCTTGCGGGCCTCTGGGAGTATCTGGGTATCAAGACAGAATATCCAGTATTCTCTTTTATTGCTAAAAACTCTGCTCCTTTGTAAGCAAAGGCAGGAGCTATCTGCTCACTTAATTTCATCTGCTTCCTGCTTCTCTTGAGAGACCTGTAGAATTACAAAGATCTTACTTTTCCTTTTTTTTTTTCCCCCCACTCCTTACTTCCACATCTTCTTCAATGCATTTAGCCTTTGGTAACTATAGAGCAATCAGTCTGATTCACTTTTTTACCAGGTTTTGGAGAATCTTACTTGTTGCTTACTTCCTTACTGAAAGAGGAGGAGGGGAAAAAACTAGGCGAGTTCTGCAGTTACAGACAACCATTCTTTCTCTTTCTATTCCAATAATTCATACCATAGTGACAAATGAACCTTAATGTTCCTAGCTCTTGCCCAGAAGGATTTTTATTGCTGAGGCTTGAGATACAGCTACTATGTAAAGAAAAAAAAAAATTTTTGGTTTGTCACATGAGCTTCAGTAGTGAACTCTTGTCCCCTGGTTAGTAACTAAATAATTTAGAAAATAAGCCCAATATATTAAAGAAAAAAGTTAGGGGGATGACAAAGAAAGGGATTGATCATCCTGTTAGAGCAGGTATAGAGATATTTATATATATATCACATATATATTTTTTACATAACTATTCTAATTTGTGCTGAAAACTTCATGTACTGATAAATAACTTCTACTTGGCTGCATGAAACTTTTGTTCATATTTCTTCGTTTGTGATTTTTTTTTGTTTTTTTTTACTTTTGTTTTTTTTACTTTTGTTTTTTATTACACGTCAGTCCATTTACACTTTCAGCCCATCTTTCTCATCCATGGCATTCCCCTGTTCATTTTACCCCTGCATCTTCTCTGCTCATCATTGGTAGAAGATTCTGGCAGCACGGCCTGCATGTGGCTCCCTCCTCTTGTGCTGGCATGTGATGGTGGCACCGTTGTGTTCTCTTCCTTTCCCTTTTTACTAACAGACGCAGACCAAACTGGAGCATGCCCGCATTAAGGAGCTTGAACAGAGCCTGCTCTTTGAAAAGACCAAAGCTGACAAACTCCAGAGGGAGTTAGAAGATACTAGGGTAATGGTTTTCACTATTTCAATAACGAGACTGATTTGTGTTGTGGAAGATTTCTGATGACACAGTCTACTGGGTATAACACACTCTGAAACAGATGCTTTGCTCCTGCCGTGATTGGTACCTGCTCTAGATCTAGCTGGAACACTTGAAAAATTAGCCTTAATTTTGAGCTTCAGTGGTATGCAAGTGTATGCCTGTGCATGTATACTCATTTCTTCAGAAGAATTCAGGTAAGATGTCTTGAAACTGCAGAATTAATACTCGGATCTGAGCCAGAAGTAGCAAAAGGGACTGTGAATTGGCATAAGAGAAGGTTCTGTCGTTCATTTCTAGAAGTAGCAAAGTTCATTAAATGCGAAAAAAGTAAAATGGACTGTGCCAGTGCTTCTAACACAAACTGAGCATTTGGGGCTTGGTTTCCGAGGTCTTAAATAGTTGTGGTACTACTTAGAATCATGCAATCGCAGAACGGTTTCGGTTGGAAGAGACCTTCAAGATCATTGAGTCCAACCTTTGTCAAGTCACGGTTTGAAGTGGCTTTTTAATTTTGGTTTTTTTTTTCCACCCATGACATAATCTTGTCAGGGATATCCCAGCATCATTAGCTCTACTGTTGCCTGTCAAAATATGACCGGATATACTTTGTCACAAGTCAGAAGTTCAGCAGATACCAGTTTTTAAGGATATATATATAGCTGTAGATCTGTTTTCCTGCTCACATGCACGGCTTTTCTTGAAGTCGAGGTAGGGGTGAATATTATAAACCCAAGCATGGACTCTGTAATAAGTACTTTTAAAAAGCTGTTGCAGGTAAGAAAGGTCTTTTTTTAGGAACATCGATATAACAAGGAGATTGCAACAGTCACTTCCAAATTAGAAATACTCGCAGTGGCTTTGCTGTGCCACGAGCTGCTTCAGCACTTGGTGGGAAGCTCAAATAACGGGAGGACGCTCTGTCAGAGAGAACAAACAATGCAGTGGATAATAGCAGGAGTTTCAAAGGATTTGTAGGCTAAAAATGTGTTTGCCTTTTTCTCTGACAGTCTCATAGCTGGCATGAGATGAATATGGAAGCCATTATTTCAACAAATAAAGACCTCGGGGTTCTTCTTTCTTTTTCAGTCTGCTTTAAAATGGTTCCGAGAAACATTTTGTTAAACATTGATGATATAAGTAAGCGTAATTTGTAAGGTGCTTAGCAAGTCGTCATTTCTGGATAAGAAAAATGAATTTTTAAAAGTGGCACCTCTAGAAAGAATAATATGCATGTTGTACAAAGACACGGACTTTTTTCCGTAAGGCAATAATTTATACATGAATGAAGCAATGACTCGTTTTGTTTCACAGCCTTCTGTGTCAAAGCAGCATTTACTTTTATTATAAGATTTCTCTAGAATTTCCATAGAAATAAGAGTTGACAATGAAGCTCAAAGGTAAGAATACGGTCATGGTGTTAGTTTGCAGCGCTCAGTGGTTTCTTTTCAGTGAGGCCTGAGCCTTCTATATTAACATATGTGTTATAATTCTTTCCTCTTTTCTTCAAATACTGTTAATCATAGGTGGCCACGGTATCAGAAAAATCTCGCATCATGGAACTAGAAAGAGATCTAGCATTGCGGGTGAAGGAAGTAGCTGAGCTCCGAGGGAGATTAGAGTCTAGTAAACACATCGACGATGTGGACACTTCTCTTTCGTTGTTACAAGAAGTCAGTTCTTTGCAAGAAAGAATGGCCACGCTTAGCAAAGAACATCAGAACGAGATGAATTCACTGAAAGAGAAGTTCGGCATTAGTGAAGAGGCATTGCAGAAAGAGATCAAATCCCTTTCAGCTTCGAATGAGAGAGTGGCAAAAGAAAACGAGTCCTTGAAAACGAAGCTGGATCACGCCAACAAGGAAAATTCCGATGTAATAGAGCTATGGAAGTCGAAGCTGGAGTCTGCAATTGCCTCCCATCAGCAAGCAATGGAAGAACTAAAAGTTTCTTTCAGCAAGGGTGTAGGGGCTGAGACAGCAGAATTTGCCGAGTTAAAGACTCAGATTGAGAAGATTAAATTAGACTATGAAAATGAGATGTCAAATTTAAAGCTGAAGCAGGAAAATGAAAAATCTCATCATTTAAAAGAGATAGAGTCGCTGAAAGCAAAGCTGTTGGCAGTCACAGAGGAGAAAGATCAAACCCTGGAAAGCCTGAAGACCAAACTGGAAAGCGTGGAAGATCAGCATCTAGTAGAAATGGAAGACACTTTAAACAAATTGCAGGAAGCTGAAATAAAGGTAAAGGAGCTAGAGGTACTGCAAGCCAAGTACAATGAACAAACCAAAGTTATTGATAGTCTTACACCACAGATCAAAGCTGCTGAAGAAAAGCTTTTGGACCTTGCTGCACTTCAGAAAGCCAATTCTGAAGGTAAATTGGAAATCCAGAAACTTAGCGAGCAGCTTGAGGCAGCTGAGAAACAAATTCAGAATTTAGAGACTGAAAAGATTGATGGAAGTAGCAAGGTTTGTATCAACATCCATCCTTTTATTTTTGCTTTCTTTTTATTTTACATTTGTACTCTTCTCATCTGCTGTAGCAAACACATCACAGAAAAAAAAAAAACAAGCTTTATTGATTGTGTATCATGATACCATCTGAGGAGGTTTAGAGAAAGCGATCGCTGGGTCATGACAGGTTTCGAGTGCTCAGTCTGCACCACTAAGCAAAAGAAAACGAAACTCTTTCTGTACCTTTGGCATGCCTCTGCTGGAAGCTTTGTGTTACGGAAAAGTTAGCTTGGCTCATTTGGGAGAAGAATCCACGTATCATACCCGCTTTTAACGTTTGGTGGTAGAGGTATTCACATAAAAGGTGACTTGGGTATCAGTGGAGAAGTGTTGCCTCTGTACCTTCTCTGCTTTGCCTCTCATTAAACAAGATGATGGAAGAGGCTACTAAAAACACAGGAAAGTTAAAAAAGATCCTGGTGGAACGACAAGGGTAGGCAGCAATGCTGTTGGGTGCTCCTTTGCAGCAGTATCACTGCAGCGTGGTGTATCTTACCAAGATTTTTCTTGGGTTTGGGTGAAACGTCAGCTTCAAGTTGATCAAGTGGCATTTCGGTACTTGAAAGTTGTTCCACCGCTGCAACTAGGAACAAAGGTGTGACGACACTGTTTCATCTTACGGGTTCCTCCACATCCCCAAGCTAGAGCTTTAACGGTAAGAGTAGTGGGAAAATAACTGGAAATAGCTTTCCTAAACCCTTCGCAGATGGTTCCAGGGTACTGCATTTCTATGGACCTGTGACTCTTTTTGAGGTCGCAGCAGGTTTCTGCACTACCTCTGGGTGTGGTACAGAGCCTTTTGAAAAATTACAGCCCTGCGTGTGTCTGAATCGCCAGTATAATGCAGAATTGATAAGTTAAAAAATTAAAAATGTAAAGAACTAAAACTGCTCGTTCAACTAATGCTGGAAGTTTCTTTTGAAAACTTGAATGTACTCAAAACTGTCTGCCATTAAATAATGTTTTCAGCATTAATTCCAAGTGAACTAAATTTCAATGATTTCAAATAATTCCAAGATGCAAGTAGTACTGTGATGTATGTGATCATCAGTGGAAATCACCTTCACTCTGTTAACACATCACCTTTTTTTTCTACAGTTTGTTTTTTATTTTTCATCTTAGAGTGGTTTTTGATATTATAGTTATTTCTTTCAGATTCAACTTTTAATTTTCCTATTTTTTCATTCATGTTTTTAATTTTATTTTACTCCATTTCATCGTCCTTGTTAGGCTAGTAATCTGGCCAAAGAACTGCAGGGCAAAGAGCAAAAGCTTCTTGACCTTGAGAAAAACTTGAGTGCAGTAAATCAAGTTAAAGATTCTTTGGAAAAGGAACTTCAAGTTTTGGTGAGTAATACCCAAAAATTTTGACTTTATCCTTTGGCTTTTGGTTTTCTTGGCGAGAGTGTAACTGAAATCTGTGGATCAACCCCGAGCAAAGTCTTTCAGAGCTATTTTACTCATGAGAAGAAGGTTTGTGACTCACAGGATCTGTCTCAGAATGGGAAGAGCATTCTGAGTTCTGGGATATCATATGTTTTGTCTAAGTAGAAGTCGTCTGTTCACGTTGTTCAGATAAACTGTTAAACCAAATCAAAAGCAGCATGTAGTTTCAATTTAGGCTACTCCTTAAGGAATGCAGGGCCTTTTACTACAACGGTTGCACAAGTGAACGCATGGTAGACCTGTGTCTTACACACGATTTTTGACCGCGTTTTTCTTCTGATGCGTCATTTTGCAAATTTACTTAAATTTGCAAGTATTTTGTAGTTGGATGAGATTTTCCTGAGAAACCATGCCAGGATTAGTGACAAAAAGACATGCCTTTTGGTTTTACGCTCCCTGTGATAAAATTTTTCCATGGCCATAGGAAATATTTGAAGTCGGTGGAAGAGTCTCACTTCTTACCTTCCTCAGTATCCTCCCTTTACAGCCTAGCGTCTCTCCCTCCTGCTAAAGCTGGAAAACACTGGTATGAGATCAATCTCAGGGTTGCAGGCGGCCACTGTGCAGCTTCTTGCATTGAGACCCAGAAATCGCGTCTCCTACGCTGGACTCTGTGGCTGCAGTTGTGTTGCTGTACTAGCTGATGGAGAAGTTATTTGGAATATTTAGGGACTTGCTTGCAACCAAGGCAAGGGAGAATCTTGCTTTTTGTTGCTGGATATATCTATGCTAAACTGTAATTCAAAACCTTCAGGTGTTTTTATGGCAGGAGTGAAGACTGTTCTATTTTGTGCTTGAAAAACACCTAATATAAGTGCAGTGGTTGAATTATCCCGCTCTTACCAAACCTTACTGTAGTTTTTTATCATTTTTCAGAAAGAAAAGTTTACTAGTGCAGCTGACGAAGCAGAAAACGTTCAACAAACTATGCAAGGTATGTCTGCTGCTAAACTAAACAAAGGACTTAAAATAAGAAAATCGATGCTGCAAAGTAAAGATGGGGTTTTTTTCCCATGTGTTTTCAAATTCACACACCTGCTGGTACAGCAGTTTCAGCACCTGTGAGAAGGACAGGATTGCTTGCAGCCTCTTAAGAGTAATACACCTTGCAAGTAGGTGGAATTGTCTTCATTGAAGTAGTTACTAACTTTGTTTTCAAAATTTTACTTGCGTAGAAACAATAAAAAAACTAAACCAAAAAGAAGAGCAGTTTGCACTCATGTCTTCAGAACTGGAACAGCTGAAGTCTAGTTTGACTGGTAAGGAAGTGATAAAATGGAATGTTCTTAAAAATGCATCAGCTTTGCTTTCAAATGCCTCCTGCTCAGCTCACCACATCAAAATATATAATGCTTTCACAAATGCATATGCCCCCCAAAAAGCACCTTTTTTCTGGGCAGAAAACAGCTTTTGTGGCACCGTGGCACACAGCAAGGTGACCGTGATGTTAAGGAAATAGAGCGGTACAGCAGTAGACATCCTGGCTGAGTGTATTGCAGATCAATAGCTAAATTAAATTCTTGCTTGACATTGAAACAAAATCGTGTTGTGTTGATGGTCTAATACCAGACAAAGGCTTGGGGACCGGACTGAAGCATTACAAACGTTAGGGTAATTAATTCACAGAAGCCTTGTCCTCACAGTGCTTTCTTTTTAGGGACATCAAAAAGATAGTACATTAGTCTGGTTGTCTTCCTATCATGTAGGAGAAGAGTCCTCCCATATCTTTCTAGTTGTACGTCTCGATTTAAAACCGATGTAGAAGGAAATTAAGAATGATGATGTACCCTGTCAAGAAGCCTTTCCAAGGCATTGTTGGGACTGTAGAAGTGAGCCTGAGGAGTGCTCTTGCCCTTCATGGCAGTGCCTGCCCTACACTGAGCTGTTTTATTGCAGTAGCTTCACGCTGCTTGCGCTGTTTGCCTTCTGCTGCTCTGCTAAACAGCTGGCGAGTCGCCTGGCCTGGGAGATGCTTGAACCTCTGCTACGATACCGCTGGGTTACCCTCGGGTATGGGTAGATCTCATATCAACTTCTCGTGGCCTGAAGTGAAGTGGATCACTTCAGAAAGAAACGAGTTCCTGACTAGTTGCTTCTTTACTATTTCTGAAGAATTCTTGACCTTCTGCTACAGCTAACAGTTCAAAAGTCAAGCAACCATAATTTTTAATTTTAAAGGGGTAATTTGCAAGCTCTTGTAGCATCGATATTGCTCTGCTTATAGCCCTTACCATCTTCTAGCTGGTCTGTGCATACCCGTTTTCTTAAACTTACTAGACTGCTAACCTTTGTCTTGCTCAGAGATGGAGAAGAAACTGAAGGAGAGAGAAGAGAGAGAACAGCAACTGATAGAAGCTAAAAGCAAACTTGAAAATGATATCGCAGAGATCATGAAGTCTTCAGGAGACAGCTCTGCCCAGCTTACGAAAATGAATGATGAGCTCCGGTTAAAAGAAAGGTATTCCGTCACTCTGGGAACGTTTTCACAGCAATTCTTTGCTCCTGCGCTCCCAGCTTCTCCTTTGATCTTTTTGTAAATCTCTGAGGAAGATACTCCCGAGTGTCACATTGATATGACAAATGATCTTATTCTATCAAACTAAATTAATCAAAGCAGTCTCCTCAGAGTGATTTGAAGAGCATCTAACACTTATAATTCTAAAATTCTTATGTAACATGCTTCTCATGGCCCAGAGTAAACAACGCTTTTAATAATCTCGGCTGTTTTCTAATTGTGCTCCGTAATTACTTGATTACCTGATGAACTTGATTTATTCTGATACATAAAAGATTTGGTTCACATTTTTGTCTAGCAAGAGAAAATGTGTTTTGTTTCAAATAAAAATTGTATGTACTGTAGTTGTTCTTTATCTTTACAAACCCCTAGACTGGAGACAAAGTAACTGGCCACTGTGTTGCTCTGCACATGAGCAAGTGCTGGGTCTAGCTTGCGTATATTAAATTTAGCAGAACATTCCCTATATGTTAAATAATTAAATCTCTTTCTAAATGCTTGGTCAGAATATAGAACTTCAGCATAATTCAGTCTTTCATCTCCTGTGCTTGTGATGCTGTCAGCAAAAAGTAATGTTCTTTTATTTGGTCTTTCTAGGCAGTTGGAGCAAATACAACTTGAGCTTACAAAAGCAAATGAAAAGGCTGTTCAGCTTCAGAAAAATGTGGAGCAGACAACACAGAAAGCTGAGCAGAGTCAGCAAGAAACTCTCAAGATTCATCAAGCAGAACTGAAAAATATGCAGGATCAACTAATGGACATGGTAAGAAGAACTTTAAAAAGCACTAGCTACCTCTGTGCAGATTAGTTAAGAGTCCCACTGCTGCTTTAACTGTGCTCCAATTGTTCTGTCTTCTACCAGAAAAAGCAAATTGAGATGAGCCAGAATCAGTATAAGGACCTTCAGGCAAAGTACGAAAAGGAAACTTCCGAGATGATCACTAAACATGACGCGGATATCAAGGGGTTTAAGCAGAACTTGCTGGATGCAGAAGAGGCACTGAAAACTGCACAAAAGAAGAATGACGAGTTAGAAACGCAGGCTGAGGAGCTGAAAAAGCAAGCGGAACAGGCCAAAGTACGTATACCTCGGTACTCTGCAAGTAATTTTTAAGTCTGAACCTTTCGGTTTCAGCAAACCACTGCTTTTTTTCCTGGATTCACCATTCCGTAGATTTTCACAGACTTTATTTTTGAACTTTTCCAGGGTAGATTGATATTGGTTAGGCAAGGGAAGCAAACGTGACCAATTGGTTGTCTTCTCTAGATTACACAAGAATCCATGAAATACGGTTCTATGGCATTAACATTTCATCTTCACGGACATCTGACTCAGCACAGTCAGTTGGAGCGAAACGTTATTCTCTGTTTATTAAACACATGAATTTTAAAATATTTTGCAAACTGTTTCATTTTAAAGTGTTACCTGGAGTTTTGTTTTGTAGTACGACCCCATATTATGTGCAGCTATTTAATAGCACTTGACTTCAGTAATTTTTTTCCTCCTGTTTCCTTGACATTACTGCTTGCTTTCATCCCTTATTAGTTATTTGCTTTAGTCTGTTTTATGCTTTAACGACATATTTAGTGTATAAATTGACACACGACTTAACTTGAAACGCACCACTGATGTGGTGTGTTTTGTTAAATGAATTATGACAGTATATTTTGGACAGAATTTTGGAGAGAATTATCTACAGGAGGTGAATTTGAAAATTGGAATGCCATATCTAATATAAACCCCTGCATTTTAATTCACCCAGATTCTCGTGAAATCGTTCTGTGGCTTTTCTTTCTGAGTAACTTAGATTCAGAAAAATTTGTTGAGAGTAGTTTTGAAGACAAGACAAAGTCTTGAATGGAGGAACCTTCAAACCATCTCTTTTTTTTTTTTTTTCCAATCGTTATTATTTAACCACTGAAAAGTTTTCTTGCGGATGGCAGGTGATATGGAATGGAATGCCAGGGGTGGCTGTCAGCAGCTGACTTTGCTCAGGGACTGTGTGTCAGTGTATACACTGGTTTAAAACTTAAATTCCAATAACTCTATTTGCCCTTAAACAACATTTCTCATTTGTCTGCTTGACTTCATTTTTGTTTTCCCTTCTCCCTGACTTTATTTCTCTAGTCCTTAAGCTCTGAGTTAGCATCAGCCAGGAAAGAAATTGAACTAATGTCAGACAAGACGAGGGATTTGATATCAGAAAAAGAGACTTTGGCACAGGAGGGGAATGCTTTAAAATTAGAGAAAGGTGCCTTGTTGTCAAAACTTCTAGAACTGGAGTCAAAGATTTCGTTAATGCAACAAGACCGCGAAGAACTTCAGAAAATAATTGAAGAACTTAATTCAGAAAATAAAAAAGTCCTAAAGCAGAAGGAAGAAGCTGAAGCAAAAAGCCAACAGGAAAGCACAGAAAAGGTAGCACTGATTTCTGAGAAAAGCAAATTACTCTCTGAAATAGAGGCAGCACAGACAAACCTTCTGAAGGTAACTCAAGAAAATGATGCTCTCCGGTCTTCAGAGTCAGCCTTGCTCCAAGAGCTGAAAGATCTTCAGGCCAACAAAGATGCCGTGGATGCGGTGTGTCAGAAACATGTCAAGGAACGGGAGGAACTGGAGAGTTCTCAGAAGAAACTTTTGGAAGAGAAAGATGCAGTTGTTAAAGACAAAGATGATGTTATTCAGAAGCTGGAAAGTTCTCGTGAGGCCCTAGCCAGAGATCAAAGAGAGCTGCTGCGAGAAGTGTCAGCTCTGACTGCAGAGAGAGATTCAGTCCTAGGGAAACATGCAGATCTTACAAATACACATGAAGCCTTAAAGATTGAAATGAACAGTCTATTGCAGGCGAATGGGAGTCTGCAGTCTGAGAAGGAGACACTTCTTAAAAGCATGGAAGAGCTGCGTGTGAGTTTAGACAATACGGCTGGCGAAAAGCAAGCTTTAAAAGTGAGAGCAGAAGCGATGCAAGCAGAGCTAGAGACAGAACAGAACGAACTTAAAAAAGCGATGAAAGACAATACAGAGTTGAAGGATTCCCTTGCTAGTCTCTCTTGTCTTCTTGAGGAAACTAAAGCCGAGAGAGAGAGATCCGATTCTGAATGTGTCCGGTTACTCGAGGAAAAAGAGGCTCTTTCTTTGTCAGAGCGAGGGCTTTTGGCTGAGAGGGAGGAGCTGTTAAATGAAAAGAAGGCAATTACTGAAAAGCTTGCCAAGACCACGGCAGATGCCTTACTTGCTGAGAGAGTCTTCACTGAAAAAATAAATGAACTGAATGTAGAAAAGGAATCTATTTTTCATAAGTCGTTGCAATTTGAGAGGCACAATGAAGCTCTTCTCCAAGAGAAGAATGAATTGGAGAGCAAATGCTTGTTGCTTCTTGACGAGAACAAGTCTTCTGCAAACACGGTTTCTGATCTGAAGAGAGAATGTGAACTGGAAGTCTCGGCAAAGAGAGCTCTGGCCCAAGAGAACACCGTGCTCCAAGATTCCATTGAAGCCCTCAAGGAAGAACTAAGTAAGAAGACTCTAGAAAATCAAGAACTAATAGCCTGTAAATGTGACCTCTCCAATCTTCTGAAAGAGGCCCAGGAAGCCAAAAGAACTTTAGAAAATGAATTGGCTGCTGTGTCACATGCTGAGCAGGTCCTGTCGTCTTCACTCAAGACCTGTTCCTCTGATAGGGAAGTGCTGACCAGAGAAAGGGCCGAACTGCAAGAGAAGTGTCAGAAATTAAGTGGAGAGGTTGCAGTTATGAAAGAAAACTTAACCACAGAAAAGGAAGCTAGAAAACAGGACAAGGAATCATTTTTGTTGGAACTTACGGAACTTCAAAGCAACATCAGTGTCTTAGAGAAGGAGATAGAAGAGCAGAGAGAGAAAACCAAAGAATTTCTAGCTGAGAAAGCACTTTTCATTCAGGAGAAAGAGAAATCTGAAGGTAAACTGCTGGAAATAATGCAAGAGAACAAAACCCTCCATGCAGAGACAGAGCAGCTCACTTCCAGCATTGAACAACTGAAGAGTGACTTTGCCTCTTTGTCTAAATCGAAAGCAGAGCTCCAGGGCTTGCACAGCCGTGTCTCCGAGAGGCTAGAGGTGGCGGAGGAGGAGAGAAGAAAGTTGCTTCAGGAAAATGAAAGCCTGCTTGCTGAGCAGAAGAGCCTGCTCGTCGTTAAGGAACATGTACTGCAGGAGAAAGAGAAATTCTCCAAGGATTATTATAAATTGCGCGAGGAACTAGCGCTTTTAGAACAAACTAATAGTGACCTCTCAGGCAAATTGCTGGTGTTGCAGGGCAAAAACGAGATGCTGCAGGAGGAGATGAACAATCTGGCTTTGAAACTAAACGCAGTTGAGACTCTCCAGGCCCAAACGGTAGCGCAAAAAAATGAGGTATCGAGACACACAGTTAAAATAACCAAGTATGGTCGTACTAATACCAAGCACTAACCCAGCGGTTTCCTCTCTGCACAGTCGGCGTTTCCTCTCGGTACCAACAGGCTGGGGTTGTGATCCCTCTCGGTACATTGCTTTGGGTTGTTCTTTTTCAAGTTGTGAGTCTGAAAGACACTTTAATATTTTTTTAAAAGTATTTCTAAATGTAAAAGCCTATGTTGTGGCCGAATGTTGCAAGCAAACAGCGTAAACTGTGAATAAAAGGAAATTTTCTTTCCTGAATCTGGGGAGAGGAATGGAGCAGCTCCTTCTGTGGAAGTGCTCCGTGGCTTAAAAGCTAGAGTAGTCATAAATAAGGTCTTAGATTAGATCTTTGGGCTTTTTTATGTTAAATTACAGCAAACCACAAATTTGAGTTTCTCAAAAAAATACAAACCAACATACAGCTCCTATAATTGGATCAAAAGCAGTGTAAGTACCATTTAAATTTATGTTGTAGGATTTTCAGTCTGTTAAAGACGTGGAGAGTTCTAGTGTTCTTTTTATTCACAGAAGTATTTTGTATTCACCGCCAACAAATTCTCCAAGTATTTTGAACTTCAGTTTTTGTGGCTTGAAGCCCATAAAATCAATTTGAATGCAAATTGGAATCAACTTTTCCAATAGGAATGTATTATCCCTACCTGAGTATTTTAATATTCTGGTGAAGTGTTTTCTTTTATGAAGGCATAATGAACAACACTGAAAAAAATGCAATAATTTGCCTTATCCCATACCTAATTTTTAATTTTTTTGTTTTTCCAAATTTTAGCTGCTTTTTGTAATTCCTCATTTTCTGAAAGCAGAGCAGTCTGTTGGAAGTGAATATGGATTGAACTACTACTGTCTGAAGGGGTTAGAAGTCTAAGAGCAGTCACAGTGGTAGCAATTAGAAGTCCAGCAACTAAAAAAGAAGCAGCGGGCTTCCTTGGTGTTGACACAAGCATGGGGTTATGATCTATTTCTGCATGGATTTGAATCTTCTCATGTCCATTTATTTTTATACTTTATGCAGCTTCAAAATGCAAATAAATTCCCAGTTGAAGTCCTTGTTTAATTGGAAAGCAGCTGACAAACTGTGGAGCTGTGCATAAAGTATTGTGGTTCATCTTTTGCTTTCAGAGCAAAGAGTCTTTTTTTATTTATTTTTAAAGAGTCTTTATTTTTATTTTTATTCCCCCCTTTATATATAGGCTGCCAAAATGGCAGAAGATGTGTTCCAGACCGTGGAGAAGGTGACCAAAGAGAAGGATGCCATTCACAAAGAAAAGATTGAAACTTTGGCCTCTTTGGAGAACTCTAGGCAGACAAACGAGAAGCTACAGAATGAAGTAATCCCATTTAAATGCTTCTGTGTGAAAAGTTGGGCTTAGTTTGTAAGGGACAATTCTTGAATTACAGAGAACGCTCTTTTGCCTCACAGCATCTGGTCTAAACATTGAACTGTCATCTTCTTCCCTGCACATCTTGGGCACCCTGTGGCTTCTTTTTGATGGTGCTTTCACCTTTTGCAGCTCCCATAGTAGTGGGGAGTGAACAGCTGGGCTGACCCAAAAGCCCTGGCTTTTGCTGGAGTGACAATGATTTCCAACGAGATCCAATGACTCGAGAGTTAAAAGCGGTGACATTAATAATGGCTGGGGGTTCCCTTTCTGGATTAAAAAAAAAAATAAAGGAAAAAAGCGCCACCAACAAATCCACAGGGTCCTGTAATGCCACGAGAATGGCTGAAGATTATCTGTTATGTAATAAAATGTGTCGCTGAACGCGAACAAATAAGGTTCACGAGCTGGTGGTGTTTACGTGGTAGAAGCGAGCTCAGTAAATGGATAGAGCACAGCTGAACAGATGCAAGGAGATCTCTGGAAGGACTCTGTTTCTTATGGTTGCAAGCACAAGGTTCAGGCTTCAGTTTCTCAGAATTTAAGGTAGGGTGAAGCAGAAGATTTTTATCAGTTAAAGGGATAAAGATCAAGGGGGCAGCTAATTTTGTTTTTTCAATTAATTTGAATTTGAGAAAAAGTGCTTTGGGTCTTGTAGCATTTAGAACAGAGCTGTTTGGAGCTTTTCCTTTGATACCAGGGTCTATACATCAGGTTACTGTAAGCTGCTCCTCAATGGCCTTGGATTTCTTTGTGCTCAACTTGAATGCAGCAAGTCTCGCAGCATTTCTTGTTAGAGAAATGCTTCTCAGGACCAACAGACTGAGTTAATTTAAGGACTGAAGATAGGAGGAAGTGGAACAGCTCAGCACAGGCCCTCGTTTTGCTGGATATCCTTTTCTGAGTGCTACACATGAGAACTGTACAGTTTCCTTAGGTAATGCGGGTTTTTTTTCCTCTTTAAGTTGGACATGCTTAAACGAAACAACCTGAAAAATGAAGAGGAACTTAATAAATCAAAAGAGCTTCTAAATCTGGAGAACAAGAAAGTGGAAGAGCTTACAAAAGAATTGTAAGTATTTCAATGTTAATCTGTTAAACTATTCCTTTGTAGTTACATTTACCTTTGATTTTTTTGAAAAATTGTGTTTCAGTACCTCTCTGGTATGCTCACTTATAAAGCAGATATTAGATGGAAAATAAGTATTCATTTGACACACGTAAAGCTTGAAATCGGAACGTTGCTCCTGAATTGCTGAAGGGCATTGAAGCAAAAGCTTCACTGCAGGCTTTGTTATAAATACTTTGTTTGTTGGAGGAACTATAGAGTTCTGCCACCTGAGGGCACTAGATTATTTTTAAAGCATTATTATAAAGAATTTGTTCCGATTTAATGACAAGTACACTTAGAGTGTCAAGTGTTTTGAAGGGGCTTTGTTTATAGAAAACCTGGTTCTGCTTTTATTTTTCATTGATGGCTTTACCCATTTTATTCCCGTTGCCCCACTGTGCACTCATTTCCTAACTGGTGCACTACAAGTGCTACGTATAGTATGTAGAACTGGAGTTAATTGCTTCTCATTTGAGGTGCTTCGTTTGAGAAACCACCTCTTACTCACTCCAGACGAACGATGTGTAATATTGCGCACAGACAAATGAAGCGCAGATCTGATATCGTAGAATGGGCTAGGCTGGAAGGGACCTTAGAGATTCTGTGATTTAATCCAACCTCCCTGTCATGGGCAGGGATGCCTCTCAGCTAGATCAGGCAACACATGGGGACCGAACGGGGATCAAGTGCTTTGTCCTGTGGAATCTCGTCATATCTAAGCTTCTGGTGTGCCACTGTGAACAAAACTCCTTGTTACTGCTACCCCGCAGTAGCTACGCGTCCCCCAGCTTTCAAAGATGTCATGCATTAAATGACAAATCTCTATTCCCACCTGCACTCTGAGAAGAATTTCTTTACTCATGGAGCGAGAGCTGGAATTGGGAGGGAGAGCTAAGAGCAGCTTTGGCTAATTATTATTATTATTATTATTATTGTTGATAGCTCCATAAGTCGTTTTTGTGACAGTTCTTAACCGCTGCTCTGTGCTGAAAACAGGGCACGAAGGAAATCAGCACACAGAATTAATGCTAAGTTTCTGTGGCACTGACAGCTTTTACTGTGTGCTTTTAAAAACCTACATGCTTGTGTAGACAGCAGCCTCCTTGCAGAAAGGCAGGATTTCATTCCCTGAGCAATTCCTACCTGCCTCAGTGCTCCTGGGAAATACCAGGGCAGAAGAATTATTTCCTGACCGGTTGCTCTTAGTGCTCGAACAGCGAGGGGCTGGCAGACTCTGGCATCATGGAACAACAAAATGTCTCAGACTGTAATTCGTCAAGCTGAAGTTATTTATAGACGATGCTTCCTTGAAAATCTTCAGCGCTGAAAGGTGTTCTCATGATCCCGATGGCTCTGTGGGGTTATTTTTCTTAAGGTTAATCTTAGTCATAGGCTAAGGTGATGTCTGCTTATCAGCGTGAGAGACATTGCGCGTAAGTGGGAGCTCATCTAGTTGTTTTCTGATCGAGCTTTGTTGTCCCAATTCTTTTGTGTGTTGCCTCGTTTTAACTAGAGTAAGGAATTAGCAGGAGAACTGGCACTTCTGGATGTTCTCTAGAGAGAAACACCTTCGAGAGGCCGCCCCTGCCTTAGCGAAGGAGAGCAAACCTCTCAGTTTAAAGTCCCTTGGTGCTAAACACAGGGGAACATTTCACACAAATCAACCCCGGTATCCTGCGTGCTTTTATTTTTTTTTTTTTTTTTTTATGTGAGCTGGCCTCTTTAGTCCAGTCTGGGTGGATCGGGTCAGAAACTGGCCCAGGTGAGACCAGACAGAAGAAGCAATTGGAAAATCATAGTCACGTTATGTGCCAGGTTTGAAAAGTAAATCAGACTTGCTTCTGTTAAAGTCTGCCCAATAATAAGTCCTTGTATTTTGAAGTGCTCAAACCTGTAAGTCACAAACAACTTCTGCTTCCCACGGACATAAAAGTATTTTTAATATTCCAGTCAGGGTTTAACTCTGGGTAATATTGGCACATGGGAGCACCAGGACTCCTTTTTATGAAAACAAAACACGCTCGTAAAATGTGCTGTTCAGTGAAATGAAGCTTGTCTTTTTTTTGTTCTTTTGAAAGATATTGTCAAATCTTACAAAAACTCTGTTAGTCATTTGTGTTACAGGCAGGCACGCAAAATATTTTTCTCAAAAATTTGTTGAAAATAAACTTACTTTAAGGAAACCACACATACTGGTAGCAACCCAGGCTAATGGAACCTGCAGATCCTTTCTTTTTTCTGACAGCATTTGTTTTGTCTCGTTTTTAGTTTTGTGCCTTTTAAAATAAGGGAATAGATTTGATACTTTACTGTTTTGCCTCCTGCGATCTTGCACATTCTTGTGTGTTTGGGTGTCAGACCTTGTAGGGAGTATTTAAAAAGGGAGAACTGTAAGGGGGGTGTTCCTTTCTTTTCTTTCCTTTTTCTCTCTTTCTTTCCTTTCTTTTTCTCTCTTTCTTTCCTTTCTTTTTCTCTCTTTCTTTCCTTTCTTTTTCTCTCTTTCTTTCCTTTTTCTCTCTTTCTTTCCTTTTTCTCTCTTTCTTTCCTTTTTCTCTCTTTCTTTCCTTTTTCTCTCTTTCTTTCCTTTTTCTCTCTTTCTTTCCTTTTTCTCTCTTTCTTTCCTTTTTCTCTCTTTATCTTCTCTTTGTTTTTTTTCATGCTTCTCTTGTTTTACTTCTGGCTACAAAGTTCACTTGTGAGCAAGTCCAGGCTATAACCCTCGCCAACGCTCTCGTCAAACCCTCCCCTGTATTTCCAAACCCGAGCAGTTGCTGACCAGTGGGAGCTCACAGACCTCACGCTCCCAACTTACCGCCCATTTCTTTTGAGCATCTGGTACACTTGAAGACAAGGGAGTTTCGCTTTTCAGGGTTAAACCCGCCTCTGTGCATCGGAGGTAGAGATTGACACCTTCATCATAGAACCCACCAGCCACGTGACCTGGATGTATTTTTCCAAGCTGTGAAGCTGAATCTCTCCCCCAGTTTTTTCTTGCCTCTCGCGTTCCTATGGTAACGATGCACTCTCTGTCCTCGCAGCGAAGCGCTGAAGCTGGCAGCAGCTCAGAAGTCCCAGCAGCTCGCCGCTTTGCAAGAGGAGAACGTGAAACTTGCCGAGGAGCTGGGCAGGAGCAGGGACGAAGTCACAAGTCACCAGAAGGTAGAGGGGCTCGGCCGGTTCCTGGGTGGTGGTGGCGAAAGCGCGCTCTGCCCGCCGCTGCCTGGGGGACATCGTGCTGCATGTTTCCGTGCTTGAGAGAGGAGTTGCTCTGAGAGTGTTTTAAAATAAATTTGGAAGCACCACCTGCACGGGGAGGTTAGAACTGCAGGCTGGCGGGAGGTTACGTAACCCGTGGGGGATACTTGGGAGGCTTGGGAATAAGCGTAAATTAAATATGTTGTAGCCAGATGTATTAAGAGACACTTGCTATTTCTGTCGGGAATAATTTTGTTATACAACTGTGGTAATCTCCATCTACTCAGTACTAAGGAAATTTAGTTATTTAATTCTCCTTATTCCTGCTCTCCCTACCCGCTAAGAAAAGGAGTATTTAGGGTGTGTTTCCAAATATTATTTAAAACTACTTGGCTGGGCTCTGTCTCTAAAAAGCGCTGTGCACATCTCCTTGCTTGAACTTCATGCTGTGCACGCACGGGAGCAGTGCAGCAGCCAGGTAGTGGGTACTGGAGGGCTAGAACCGATGGGAGATGTTTTTCTGGTGGTAGTTTACTGCAAGATTCTCTTAAATTTTATTTAATTTTTACTATGGCATTTGAATGCGATATGCTATTGGAATCCTAAAGTGTGGGCTTAGTTACAGAGCTTATAACACTGGTACTTGCCAAGAGACAAATTAGATTTTCAGCCATTAAACGGGATGAGTTTGGTGTTGTGGAGCAGCTCCGGTGACGGCCACACCATGAAGGCATCTTTGGAAGATCTGACCCAAAAGCCGGAATGTAAAAGACATGAGTTTATTTATTGCCTTTCTGAGATGGCACTTGTGCAGAAGAGGGGTTTGCCTCTTGCCAGCAACAGCGGAACAGATCTCTTCCATCCTGCAACAAAAACTGGTATTTTTAAAGCCAAGAGGCTGACTTCTCCCCAAGAGAAATCCTGAGGATGAGTGGCTACAGATCTGGCGAGTTTCTAAACCCTTTTGTCCGCTGACAGGGGTAATGTATGAGCTGCTTCATCCTAAAGAACCTTTGGAGATGATTAACGAGAGTCCCAGACGTGTGGGCTCAGCCACTGACTCATGTCGCATCTGATAGTGGCGTGGTGAGAGAACGCTTTCATCCCAAACAGCCAGTGGGAGCTCTGTGCCCCGCTCCCACACGTTTTCTTAAATTATTTCAGAGTCTTTGAGGCAGCCTTTTATTTCCAGAAAGAGTTGTAACTTGGGAAGGATTCAGCAATGCTGGTCAAATCTTTTTGCCTCTTATATGTAGCAGAAAGTCTCCGAGGGCAGGGACCCTTAACCCCCAAGATGCAGGCTGGCATCTATCACTGCGATCTCAGCCCGTGGCCTCTGCTGTTTCCAGAGGACCTTGCGAAGGAGCGCTGCTCCCGCGTCCAGCCTGCTGCGGATCCGTCAGCAGGGATCCGTCTCTCGTTGCCAGCGTAGTCGGCTGTAACCTATGAAGTGCAGAGATTAGTCAGTCATCTTGCAAACTGGAATATTCTCAGTTCCCTTGTGCCGTGGCCTTTCCTGCCTGTGAGTAGATGGCTCCAAGATCAAAGATCTAGATCTGCTGGAGCTTGGAGAAGCAGTCTGTTTGCCTTCTTCAGCCCTTTGCGTTGCATTATGTCCTTTTCCGCGAGGAAGGTGTAATATGCGTCTTAGAAACGTGGCAACGCCGTCTGTTGCACTTTCTAAACATAGCATTTGGGCTATGGGGTCTTCAGGTCTCGTGAACCACGCGGCTTCTGAAGAGACTGGAATTCCAGGCAGCTCCGTTGTGGCAAAAGGAACAAAGGCAAAATGGTGTCACGTTGAAAATGTGGGTTTCCCGCTGGTGTCACCTAACTCAGGAGTGCAGCTCGTCTCAGTTCGGTCTCGTTCAGCTCCTGTTGGTGAACCGTGTGCTCCACCTGCCCAGAACTGTCTTTTTTCCTGGTTGCTCCTAAAAAACATTCCCTGTCTCATCTGCAGCCTGTGAAGCTCCAACCGCCCTTCTCAGGCTGAGAGAAACCTGCTGTCACCACGAGGAGTAGGATGCTTTTCCTGTTCCCTTTAGATCCTCCCCAACCTAAACTTAAAGTCCCCTTGTTCTACCTTTGACTCCGCTGAGTTCTCTTAATGAGGTGACAAGAAAACCTGCCAGCCTGGAGAATTCCTGTCTCGGGGATCCCCACCACCACTCCTGCCCTGGGTCGGTGTATGTGGGGTGCGGGCACTGAGTTGCAGCGTGCTTTGGGTTCTCTGGGTTCAGGCTGGCTCTTCCTGCGAAGAATCACCATGTTAGACTTTTAGAGAACAAGTGTCCGTGGTGGCAACAAAGAGGTTTAATGTAGAAGAGGGAGGCTCGGTGCAGCTGAAAAATTGGGCAGTAGGAAGGAAAGCATAGAATGTGGCAGGGCTTTGGTCTGTTTGAGTTTCTGTGCATGTGCCTGTTAAAATGCAGTAAGAAAGGTAGCAAGCATATGTTTTAAGTATTTTCAGCAGTCGCCATAGAAACTATATAAATTCCAGCAAGTGTGTTAGTCGATTGGGTTAGTGAATCTGTGGCTGCATGTGACACACTTTGCAAAATTAATGAATACTCTTTCATGAATGATTTATCCTGACATCTAAAGGTTAAAGTGTCTTGTACTAAAGATGCTGAGGGGTGCTTTTCTATATTGATCCATAAATAATTAGCTGTTTGTAATTAGTTAAAGATTCCTGGTCAGATAGACAGTGAGCTCAGGGAACTCTTCTGACCTCAAATTATTTGTTGTGCTATTTTGGGAGCCTCAGACCTCCCCAGACGTTTTAACTTCATTGGAAAAATCATAGAAACACCTGCTAGCTCTGCTGGTCCATCTTTTATTAAAGGTATGTGAGAAGTCCGCTCTGAGGTTAATGAGAAAGTGAGTGGATTGCTGGAGAAATGTTGATGAGAGATCGGGTGCAATTTTCTCACCTTCTGCCATGAAGCTGCTCAGGGCTTGATCCGTGGCTCATGCAGCAGCAGCAGGGTTGTAGAAGCTGCACAGCTGCCCTGACATCTTGTTCTCCTTTACTTTTCTCCCTTTTCAGCCCACTCCTATCTTGGTCTGTACAAAAATCTCTCCACAGCCAGCCAGGGAACTAAAAGGGAAGAGAGATGCAGGGTTTACGCTCACGATCATGGAGCATTTCATCTCGTTGAGGCTTACACGTGAAACATTTCTCAGAATTCTCGTATTGTTTTTTCCTACTCTCTTTCTGTCATCAGCCTGTGCAGATGTAAGGAGTTGATAGAGGCTGCCTCTGTGCAGGAAACAGAGAAATGTTCTCCGAAGCAGGGGGTGAGATTGGTGCTGCTGGTGAAATCGCTGGGTTTGTTGCCCGCGGGAAAGATTTGGGCATATCCCTGTAGCGCAATGGCTGCTAAGAGGCCGCTGTCCTTGAGGGGTACAATTTGATTTGCTTTAACACTAATGAATATAAGTCTCTCTACAGCCTTCTAGAATCTATTTTTTATATCAATAAAATTATGTCCGATTAACCCCAGCAAAACGCTACCAATTAATTTTAAACCTGGAAGGCTTAGCAGCACTGCAGTCCGAGAAGGGAGAAGGTAAGTTGCCAGAAAATAGGGAGGAGACAGTTTCTCTCTGTAGTCCCGGAGGCTGGCAGACAGGCTTCCTTCCTGCTGCAGCTTGCTTAACGCTTGCTGTGCCTCTCTGTGCCCAGCCTGAATGGCTGCAAAGTGCTGAAAGCATTTAGGCAGTAAGAGAGTATTTGCCCTTGTCCCGGGGCTCGGAGGTTTCTGTTACAGATGCACGTCCTGCTCGCCTCCTGGACAAACCCTGAAAGCTTGGGAAATCCCAGCAGAGGTTGGCATTCAAGTCAAGGTGCAGGGAGCTGCTGCTGCAAGCGGTTCTGCAGGGCAGTAATTGCTCACCTTGGCTGTTCAGTAAGAAGAAAGAAGATGATGAAAAATAATTAATTGGCCTGAAAAATATTCAATTTCCTAATCTGATCAGAAGTTTGGTTCCCCTGGTGTTTCCGGGGCAGGGCTTTTCGGTTTTGTTGGCGTCCAAATGATGGTTGGTCACTTTGTTTGTCCTTTCCTAAACCTACCTGTGCCTCTCAATTTGAACCCCAAGAACCTGCAGCAACGCTATTTTCAGTCGAAGGCTTTACTAGTTGTAAGGGCTTAAGGTGGCCCCGTTGAGTTACAGGCTCAGGATACAGTAACAAACACCAGACCGGCAGCTTTAGGGATCAATAATTTACCTCGAAATGTGGTACATAACAAATACAGATCAGGAGCGCAGTGATCCAGGTCAGAACAGCAGCAAATCCAGTAATTCACTGATACTGGGCTACACTTACTTGCCAGATGCACGAAGGCTTTTACGGTTCTCTTTAGTGGGGCTCGGGAATCCCGTCGGAGGCGCTGCCAACCTCACACCTCTCCATGTGCACAGGGTGTGAAAATATGAAATAAAGCAGTAATTGCCCCTCCCCAGATCACATCGTTGGTCACTGAACGGTTTGTGTTCATGTGTTTGTGTTGTCCTAGTATAAAATTGATTACTTGGAGGATTTTTAGGCTCTGTAGCCTCTTCCATGTTTGTTTTATGGTTAAAATGATACATATTATACTAAGGTTTTATGGCTAAAATGATTTCTATTATACTAAAGTTTTATGGTTAAAATGGTTTCTGTTATGTTAAGGTTTCATGGTTAAAATTATATCTATTACTAAGGAAACAACCCTTAGTGTATTAACTGTAGTCTTTTTTGTACTTGTGTTTCAGCTGGAAGAGGAGAGATCAGTACTCAATAACCAGTTATTAGAGATGAAAAAGAGGTAAGTTGTTTTTTCTGACACGTGTTTAACTACACAGTCCTACAGAAAAACACAATACAAAAGGTCTACTAGGAAGGCAGTTCTCTTCTGTTCTACCATAGTTAAAGTGCTGAGGTTGTTACACACGGATTAGAGATGGCATCTTTTCCATTTTCTTTATTGAAAGTGAGGAGATATAACTGTAGTAATGCAAGCAGTGGTGTTTACCAATTCCTCCTCAGTTATGCACCTCTTGCATTGTAGCTGTTCTCTTCCTTTTCAGTTTAGTGTTTGGTTTGAATCTGCTCTGGAATATTGGATTGTCCCTCAGTCTGAGAAAAATGCACAAATTCAGACCTGACCTGTCAAGATCTTAGGGAATAATGGAAAAATACAGTGATGCTAAGGATTGTAATTTTAAAAATTTTTAAAAAAAAACATAGAAAAGCAGCAGTTACTCAGCTCTGAATGGATTGTTCTCATCATTCTGGGATATGGAGTTTCTCGTGGCCGAGGTTATTGCAGTTCATTCAGCACTGTTTGTTTTTAAATACCAGATTTGTCCTGGGTGACCAGGGCATCCATTAGTAAACTGTGCTGTTCAATAAATGGTCCCAAGTTACAAAACTTCCTGTCTTTCTGCAGTATGTGTATGGAAAGCTAACTGGCCAGGTGCCACGATGTCTTTAGGAAAATGTGGCCTTTTCAAAAGTAGTTATATAAATCCTTAGAAAAAGACGCGGCTCTCCATGACACCAAGTGTGTTCCAGGAAAAACAAACGCCCTGTTAAATTTCCTGAATTTATAACGGTCGCAGCAAAGAACAGCGAGTGGCACGTTGGTGTTTGCGCGCATCCTTAGCTGCTCAGGGGGCAAGCGAACGGCTGACCCTCTGCCTTTAACCAGCCTCGTGACCCGGGTCACTCAGCCTGTAGCTGCACAGAATTGTATAAGTGGAAGTTAATTTATTTCTTTAAAATTAGGTGAAGCAGAAGATGAGGAGAAAAATCCTTAGCTGGTGTGAAGATGGTTTGACATCCACAATAATGAGTGTGTTTACACCAGCTGAGGATCATCTCCAGCAGGGAGGGAAAAGGAGGATGTTGGTGCTGCTGTCAGCTTGGAATGCTTGATATCCTGTAATTTAACACGGTTTAAAACGTGTATTTTAAATAGCCTAACTCCTGAAAGTTACTTGAGGACGGGAAGGAGGAAGAGGGGGCACAAGATTCCTTCAATACTTGCCAGTAGTAAGTTATAGAAAGAAAGGTTCGCAGCTCTGATTTTTCCTTCTGTTTTTACTGTGCGTGAGCTGCCTGAAGTAACGTAGGTAATCCCGAAATCATTAAAGTGAGTTTTAGCGTTACTTTACCTTCAGTCGGTTACCCTGAGATGCCGCAGTGAGTGACGGCCGGGTGACGTTCCTCAACAGTGCTGAGTAAACTCCAATAGAAGGGGTAAAACAAGCGGCAGAAACAGTCACCCCTGCCGAAGCAAACGGTGGGCTGGGGGTCCAAACACTCCAGCTCATGACATTATTTGCTGGCGAAAAAAGGCTGAATGAAGAGCTAATTAAATAAAAAAGAGTCTCTCTGAATTTCAAATTCCACTGAGGCTGGTGATGAGCTGAGCGACGATTCTTCCTTTTGTCTTACGAATCCGTGATGCTGAAAAAGAGACGCCTTTTTATTTCAGTTAGGTCAGATCCCCAGCAGTACGTTCTCACCTTCCTTCCACCCGCAGGAATTCTCATCCGCTCTTTCAGCACCTCTCTCTGGACAGTAGTCTGGCGAGAAGTGACGGGAGTTGGATATTTCTGAATCTAAGGGGGTTCTGTGTTACCTCAGCTCGTTAGGTTCGTTGTGGGTTGCTAATTGTCTTACTGTCTTTGAGCTTGCGCTATTTATCGATACTCATTTCATTCCTCTCTCTTCCTACCCTTGCTTCCTTTGCTATATCTGTGTGTCTTTAATGGTAAGACTCAAGAAAGTCTATCCACGTTACAATAAATAATTTTTTTCTTTCTTTTCTTTTTCTTTTTTTTTTTTTTTTAGTAAAGTTGTTGTACATATTTTGGCTGCCGTTGTCCCTTGGTGTCTTGCTTTTGTTTTGTAAAACACTCAGCAATATATATACATATATATATTTAAAACAAAAGGTCTATATTTTTTACCAAAACAGAAAAGCCCCTTGATGCAAATTTAGTTCTTCCTTACAGTATTTTGCATTTCTACTCCATGTTTCTAACATGTGGTTCTTGTTATCTTGCATTTTTAAAGCTTGCCCAGTAACACTTTAAGGTATTTGCTTCATTCTTAGAATTTCTGGTTTTTGTAGTAAGGGAAGAATCTGGGTGATTTTTTTTACATTAAAACAAAATTAAAACCTTTCTCCCGTGACACACGGTGCTAAAATCATTCTGTAACCTCCTCAGGAAAGCGCAATTTTAACGTGTGAAATGACAAAGTCATTTTACTGCTTAGGTTTGTTTTAATTCCTGCT